GCCACAAGGTGCAAAGCTTACACGCTTATACAAGGCTACTAAACACTATGCGAAACAATATCCCTAAAGGTTATCTGTAGTTCACTACATAAATTATTGGCGACTTCATTTCGTTTCAGATCACCGGAAGGCGGCTAAGGTTAAATAGATTTACGCCAAAACAAACTAAGGGCAGCAGGGGTAGCACATTTAAAAACAAAGTCAATTATTTTATTTTTCGCACGAGAGATCCGCAAATCAAATCTGCAAATTTTCAAATGATAACGCCATGTACTGATCTGTCCATTGGCATTCAGAAGTAAAAATCACTTGCTTAAATTGTCTACACCGACGTCACAACCTAAATCGACTCATTTACACTGTTTATTTTTTTTTAAGAATATGTTTTATAAGAATATCGAGGCTGAAATTTGCGAAATTTTAAGAATATTTTTAGAATAAACCCGAGGCTGAGATTTTGAAAAGAATATATTTAGCGTGTAAAAAATTGGTAAATACATGCACAATACAATTATACGTTTTTAACTAAACCGTATAAAATTCTTCCTTTCGCTAAACGGCAAAACTAGCCAAAAAGCAACAAAAACAGCACTAGCTGTATGTTCGATGCTAAAAACATTTCTGCAAGAAGTTATGTGCGTGATAATGCCTGCAGGCTGGCTCCAAAATTACTTCAGCATCATCCAGACACCAAATACATTCGAAAACAATTTTGTCATAGGGTATAACCTAAGGATATTCACAASAATATTTTCAGCCTAAAATCGGCAGAAAAATAAGAATATTCAGCCTCGGCCGTAAAAACAATATTTCTATGAAAAATAAAGAGTGCACTACAGTACCTTGGGAAGGCAGGCCTGATTTCACGACTTCTAAGGCTTTCTGAACATCACCGTCCTTAGTAACATCGAGTTTGAATGTCCTCAGTTCACGTGAACATTCCTTTGTCAGCTTCGCTTCTCCTTCGGAGGTGAGACAGGCGGCAAACACTCGCAAACCCAGAGCATCTAACTTCTTCGCCAGCTCGTAACCGAATCCACTGTCACATCCCGTGATCAGAACGGCTTTCTTCTCCAGATCCGCCACACGAACATCGCAGAACAAATTACAGGTAATGTACAAAGTAAGTACAAGAACAATGAGTAACAGGACGCCTTGAAAGGAAAAAAGAACGCCTAATATATCACCGAACATGACGAATAACGGCCTTCGATTAACTCGAGTGACTCGATGGGTGCACTAGCCACGCAGATGCTCTTAGGGCTCGTCACGCGTTCCTTCTCCACGAAGAAGGAACGCGTGACGAACCTTAAGAGGCTACGAGTGCACTGACTTCGCCTAAATGTAACCTGAAATGTCACTCACCAT